TGGGAGAGAGCAACCAATTCCCTAACAACATATGCCCTTGCAGATGGGTGTTTCTAAGAGCAAAAGTGCTAAACCCTGACATTTGCAGGATGGTGTGGAGATTGTGGAGCAGGCTTCAGGAAGCTTACCAGTCCCAGCAGGGTGATAATCTACAATGGCCACAGTGCAGGTAGACATCTCATCTAATTTAAGGAGTACGCTTAGACAAGTATTTGGGAGATTCATTAATGAGATTTGACCTGGAAAGCACAGCATCTTTCATCTGTATGGAGGCAGTGAGTAAGATGAAAGGAGCAGTTGGGGAGGAGTGATTCAGCCTGCTGAGCCCACCTGTCATGGCCACGACGGAGAAGAACCTTTTCCCCATGAAGTAAAGCTATCAAAAGTTAAGAGGATTTCTTTGCAGCCAGACAGAGTAAAAGAAGGGATATGTGAAATTTTCTTCACAGGGTTGTTAAGAGTCTCTACTGGCAAAACTAATGGGCAATGTAGCAAATCGTAGTCATAGTATTTTTTTAAGAAACCAATGCCACTAGTCAGCTCCAGGACACAGATTGAAAAATACAAAAGCAGTTATGAATTCCATTGGCTTTTTTGAAACCAAAGGAATTTTACCACCTGAGAACAAAGTCTGCTGCTAGTTACAGTGATCCAATTCCAGTAAAGCTGACAGAACACCTACAGAATTACTAGTACGAAAGCAAACAGAACTACTATTACTTCAGGTACAGGAAGAATCTGCTCCAAGCCTCTGGAAAGCTTGTTATGCTGTGATGAACAGATATAACTACAGAAATAACTATCTCACTGTGTTGAGTAAGAGCAAGGAAGAGAGAGAAACGTAATTTATGATGTTCTACCCCTTAAAAAAAACCCTGAACACACAGCTTATTTTATAATTAAATGTGTTACCTGAAGAACAGTTGCACACACTCATTTACACAGGATTTGGTATACATCTGTGCTCTTCAATGGATTATTCCAAACCTTGAGTATTTCCTATAATTAATGTCAATATGCTTGGCTTATTTGTTATAAAAGAAAAGAGTTTCTAATTAGCCTTTTTGATGTGCAAAACTTCAGTATTTCTCTCTAGTGTTTTTCAGATCATGTTTCTAATTTTATACTACTAAGTGATAGTAAGACTTAAGACTAATTCTGAAGATGGTTTAAATTGCATGCATGTGACAACTAGGCCTTGACCTGGCACTCACCAGGGGGTGAGGTCCTCCTGCTATGAGCAATGTCAGAAGTCCACATAATACTTACTGGCCTTGTGACAAGTCAAACATTCCAAATTCCTATTAAATTCAACCAACACTTTGCATATTTCCCTTTATTATAGTGACATATACAATTTACCTTCAAACCCAAGCAAACCCTACTTGCCTTCACTGAACCTCAGGAGAGTCTTTGGGAAGAGCAAAACCTTCACAGCACTGCCATTCAGAGGCTTATCACAACACACCAGGGACACAAGTAAATCTCAAGCAGTAGAAAAGAGTACAACTGTAGTGAGCTGCCTTGATGTAGCAATAAAGAAGGTCGAGGTGAGCATTTTTTTTACACCAGTCAACCCTGCAGATAGACCAGACAAATTAAGAAGTTTTTGCCAAGCCAAAGGATAGGTTCTATCAGCAGCAAATAACAGGAGGGTGGAAAGTTTGTGTGCAGACTCTTATCACTTACCTCTCTTTTTCTTGGGAGGAACTTAGCACTGAATTTACATTTAAGTAAAACCATTGCACAAGATTGACTGGATGCCTATTGGAAGCAATTGGAATATTTTCTTTGAGTCTTGGATTAAACTAAATGAGAACAGAGCAAGGCCTGGTCTGTGGAGGCATACAGAAAAAAAAATTGTGCTCTATTAAATTGGACATCCAAAGGACTTTGCTGAATGCTGGAACAAGATGTGAAATTCCATGACAAGATCAGGTTTTCTTTCCTGCTCAGCTCTCATTTAACACAAAGAGGCTTATTTTGCATATCATGGGGCCCTAGATCCTGAGCATTAAATATAATAGCTTCCCTAGAAGCTTTATAGCCTTGGCAAGACAGTATAGATTGGCCTTGTTGGTTGATTTGTTAATTCAAACAAGAATAGCACATTTCTTAAACTTTGGCCAAATTAACATCTTTTTGACTGTTCCAATGAGCTAATATCGCAGTAGAAACCTGGAAGCAGTAGTGAAGTCTTTGATGATTTATTTAGTAGGAGTCATCTTGTAGCTAATTGTCTGCAATTTTTAACCTCATTCATGTGCACTGCTGATTCTTCTTCCAGCATTTGCAGTTTTCTCCTCAAGCTTTCTTACATCTCTGTATGCATCATTTCCAGATGGCAATTCAACTCAACTTCATCACAGTATTTTTATGAACTTGCCAAACCACATTCAAGATCTTCAGACTCAAAAGTAAAAGATAAAATCATCCTCAGAGGGCACCTCACCCTTCTGCATCCAGGCACATGAAAAAAGCAGAGCTTTAGGCTCTGACATTTTACATTAATGATGAGTCACAGCGTAGGGCTCTTTGGTTTGGTTTCTTTTTGGTGTTGGAATTTTCACCTTTCCATTCTTCTCCTGGGTTTCTCACCTTGAAACCATATCAAAAGAGAGTAAGTACTGTGTGCCATGTTTTCTGTTTATACTGCATAAGTTACCATCTCTGTAGTGCTGGCCCCAGTGACATGCATACTCGTCAGTCACTGCAGATGTAGCACAGGAAGAATAAGGGATGAGCAGGCAGGGAGGTTTTGACTGGGAGTGCAGCAGACTTTCACACCACATTCACAGTAAATCTTGGCAGAGATCAGAATTAACTCAAATGCTCAAGACATTTGGTGGCTGTAACCTAGATCTTCCTGGCTAAGTTCAAAGAATGATCTGATTCACTGTGTGGATCTGTTTTCACCATGGTTTAAGGATTGCCCTAATGTCTGGTAAGTCATAAAAATATAACAGTTCTAGTCACATTTCTGGTTAATCTCATGTGATTCTTCATGAGATAGTAAGTCTTTACTGGTGGTTCTCTGCCTTCAGTTATTCCAGTGCATGATTCAGCAATTGTCACATGTCTGTTTTGGGGTGGTTTTATGCCATGAGTGAATGAAGGGCTCTTTATGCCTGGTTTCTGTGTCCTAGTTGTATGTTTATGAAGAAGACTGAGTCCCTTGGGAGATGGAAGATACTCTGTTTGGGCAATGTTATTACCATCACGTACTATGATCCATGCCTGTGGGAAGATATTTTTAAAAATAATAAGTTCCATTTTGCTAATGTAGCTATTGTTTAAATGTAAAATATAATTAGAGTATCCACCCAGGGTGTATGTTGCTGTGTAATTTTATAATACTACATCTAGATGACTGTTGGCATTCTACCTATGTACTTAACCACACCCAGGAATGCTGGTATTGCACAATTACACACATCCTGTTGACTAATTACATAATAATTAGTATTTTTAGCATTTAAGGATGCACTCAAGTCAGTTGTGCAAGATTTTATGTCACTGCAAATTAAAGACAAAGAATAACAAATATATCCAGTAAACAATCCTGTCCAGATAGCTTACTGAGCCTGGACAGAGTTTCTAGCAAATAGCAGGTAATATTTCATACTTCATTTTAAAATGTATGACATTTTCTACATGTTTGGCAGACCCCTCCCCCCCTTACTTTGGATTATACCTTTTAAATAAAACTGCTGAAGTAATTTTGTATTCAAAAGAGTTAAAATTTCTGTAGTCTGCCTCCTTTTGAGTTATGATCACTTATCATGACCAGAGATAATTTTTGGCTGAAACAGCACTGTGATGTGCCTAGGGAAGGAAGATTGTTTTTTACAATGGCAATTCTGGAAGGAGTCTGGAAAATGGACTTTTACTTAGCAATTAGTTACAAAATATCCCAAATACTGTTGTTTTAAGAAAGCACTACTGATTAGCCCTTGCCACTTGGATCTGGAACAGATTTTCCATAAGCCTGAGTGGAGTGCCTTGATCTGGTCTCTTGGTTCTCATGATGTTGATGAGAGACTGGATGAGAAGTCTGGCTCACCATTTGGATTTGGGGGATTTAAGATCAGAGACTTTTTGTTGCAATCTTGTCTTGCATGTGCTTAAAAAATGTTTGTGTAATGTAACTTCTAAACCTGTTGTTAATCTTAATTCAGCCAAAATTTACAGAAGGTGGCACAGAGGCCAAACCCTGGGTCTTGCCTAGGGCACAGGTTGATTAGCTGCAATGCACCAATTGGATTGAATATGATGCTTCAGAGTGTTTCTGGCCTACCATTGCTAGTTTCCCTGGAACCCTCAGTTGTGCACACAGACATTCATGGTGAGAAAGATGGAAAATATGGACTATGTTCCCACCTCCATCTGCATTTGTGAGGCAAAAGTGCAAAAGATATTTTGCACAAAGCTTAATTTTTTTTTTCTCTTCATGAATTTGATTTCTAACTTGTCAGTTACTGAGGCAGCAAATGATTTTCAAGACCTTGAAAACTAACCACTCCCCTGGAGTTTCTGTTTGGACTGTTTCTTTTTCATAGGGCAAAAGGTTATAGCGCAAGAGCAGCTTCTTTCAGCTACACTGAAGAGTAACTTTTTGCTGCCCTAGCAAGTTAAAAATTGGTATTTTAGTCTGAACATTTGCCCTTGCCAGGCAGTTACTTTCTAGTGAACTTCTATAAAAGCAAAGTGGGGCTGTTTGGAAGGAGAGTGATGTGAGACTGCTGGAATAAATGACATTGTTCAGTTTAGGGGCATGTACAAGTTGCTTCATAACTACCCCTTAAGCCTTAGCAATCCCTCTACCCCAAATATCAGCAATAAAGTCAGGACAGTACTGCACTTCTTTGCTGCTGGCAGACACTTAAAAAGAGGCCAGATTTCTGAATTTGTAATTGGGACTCCTGTTACTTCTAAAGGCTCTTTTTTGTTCACTGCTTTCTTGTCTGGGGTGCTTCACCCAAGACTGGTAGACAAGAAACATCAGAGGGACAGGGTAACCATCCTCATCTGTTTACCTTGGTCACCACTGGAAAGCAAACAGCAACCAGATTTCCCACTGAGAACCAGCCTTGCCTCTGAGAGCAGTTGCTTGAAAAATTCTTCTTCAAACATACGGCCACAGTTGACATGATTGGTCAAATCCCTCTTTTCCCTTCTTTCCTAAAGAAAAACAAAGCCACAATGAAACTACACACCTTGCTATGTCCCTCCAACAGAAATGCTGTGGCTCATCTGCATATATGATGAGCAGTATTTCATTATTAAAAGTAATCCATAACAAAAAATTGCACCTGGCCAGCAACATAAGACTGACTTGCTTCCTGATGTGATTTTAAATGGCTGAGATATTAAACACTGAAAAACGGGGTTTATAATGGAAGTACTGACAGACTATTAACTATAGCAGTGCTGCTCTAATAAATGAAATAGCCTGTCGTAATCTCTAATTCATAAATATGCAAATGCAAGACAGAGGATTTGCTCCAAAGGATGTCTCTATAATTTTAACTGACCTTTACTGATACTAAATGAGCCTGTTGCTTCTGGTTTTGTGCATTGAATGGAAAGTACAGGGAATCCTGTCTCTTTACGTGCAAGGCGCACTTCAGCTCCCAGAAGTGCCAAAGGCAAAACCCTTGCTACCTTCAACAGGAAAAATCTGGCCCCAGAACATCTAGAATGTGAGACACCTGGCATTAAACTAAACTCCTGACTGTACTTGATTTTAATTCTGTTCTCATCTGTGTTAATTATTATTATATTAATTCTTCTGTTTGGGAGAAATTAAGCACGCATTTGCCCCATGTGTCAAAGAGCTTGACCTGCCAAAAAGCACTTACTTGCTCAGTGATAAACAGACCATCAACACAATGATATAAATGTTGAATTTTAGCCAGTTTCCTGTTCTGCACCAAATGGAAGTAAATCCACTGACTTAATATTTAATAACCTAAATGTAATTTCTTTTTTCTGCCTCACATTGCACAGTAAAGAATTGGATGGCTAGCAGTTTTGCAAATTCCCAACCCCTAATTATTTTAAGCTATTCATCCTGGTATCTGTCCATTGATGCTCAGCCAAATTGCCAGCAGGGGAGAGATCTGTCCAATCCAGGAGCTAAATGAGTCACTGAGAGTCAATCTGTTTTTTTCCCTTGCTGCTGGGATTTCCTTGGGTCCTGGCCTCTCTCTGCTCCAATCACACAGACACAGCTCCAGGCGTGGGTCCTCTTTGGCTTCAGCTGCCTCCTGTCTCCCGTGTCTGCTCTGCTCATCACAGCTGTCGATGGGCTCTCACCGCCTGGCCACAGAAGACCAATACTTCCACCACACTGCTCTTACAGCTCTTGCTCTGAAGGAAAATGAAGACATCTTGGCCTTGTTGAATTTGCTGATGAAGTAATACATCAGGTATCTAGACGGAAAGCAAACCACATGAATAAAATGTGTCATCTGGGTTAGATTCTAATTTATTTGCCTTAAGTTCTGGGAACAATATCTGCAGTTTTTTCCAGAGAATTCGGTTAAGTTCCATAGAAACTGAATACTAATATGATTTTGTAGCATGGAAGACAAATAGGAAACAGAGAAAAAATAGACTCATCAGAAATATTAGCTGCTCACTATCAAAATATCTGACAATGCCACAAGTACAATTTATAAACAGGAACATTTAGAGCCTAACTTTTCACTAAAAAGCAAATTCCCTGCTTTGTCCCTTTTAGGGACAGGATTCAATTACACAAAAATATGCAGCAGACTTAAGGACTGCATGTAAGATTAAGATAACTGGTATTTCATGGTAAATGATTAAATTAGCTGACACAGTTTTATCCTGAACTTTGCCATTAAAACTGACATTTTTGTGCCATGCACATTGTAGGCTGCTGGTAATCTAAACTGCCTTTCTTCTTTCAAAGACCTTAAATAGCTGAAGAACTCTTGTTCTTTACTCTATTGGCGAATGTCTGGAAAATATATCTACAATATAAGAAGATGAACTAAGCACAGGACTTTTTTTTTTTTCTTCATCTAACAAATACCTTGAGAAAACAGCAAGGAGGTTCCAAATGTCCAGATTAAGCTCTGCAACATGCACTTTAATCAAGTAATTTATGTGACTCTGCAGAGATGAGAACATGCTGTCCTCCTCATGGTGAGTGAAAATAGAGAAATGACAGAAGTCTCTTACTAAGAATTTAATTATTCCTAGTAAACAATTTTAAACCACTCTATGTTTATTCCTCTTCTTTTCAGGCTTGCTTTTTCATGATGCCAGGAATTATGGGAATAATTTTTATATAAACCAGATGTAGAAGTGTATGCATGAAACATTGTAAGAGCTGGTAGCAGTCATTGCCCTTCAGCTGAGTTGGCTGGGAAGGAACAACTCAACTCCTTGGTGAAGGCACTCAGTCTTCAAGCAAAGTGCAGGCACGTGTCACTGCCCACAGCAAAGATAAGGCCAGTCTGATCAGAGACATGAACTATGAGAGAAGCACAGTTCCTCAATATTACACTGAGAGATCACCAGAATGGGGGGGAAGAAAAGCCAGAGGCACTGCAGAAATGAAGAGAGGTGGCTGGACATACAGCCAAGTGCATCCCTATGAGAGGCCAAGGGTGAGCTTAAGCAGTGGGCTCTGGCTGAAAGAGATCTCATGGGCAATTGGAGGAACTTACTTTATTTGTATAGCTGTTTGACTTGTCCAGGGGTCAGAAAAACAGATTTTTGTCCTCTCTTTGTAGATACATGGTTACATAGAAGCAGTTTTTGACTCTCACAACACTTTCTCCTCATAGTTAGTACAACCTAGAACACCTCAAATTTTTAACCAGCCATGAAGTTCAAAAGAAGTAGCTCTAACAATACAAAAGCACAGGGACTAAAGTACTAGTCCAGAACAGCAGTTCAGCATGTCCAGTCTTTCAGAAACAGGATCCTTACACACTTGTGAATAAGATGCAAGAGGAATGACAATTATTATTACAGAATATCTAAATGGGAAACTTAACTCCCCACCCACAGGCTCCAGAAGTTGAAGTTCTATGATGAAGTCATAAATGCATCATAATATACTTCTTTCTGTGCACTGGCACAAAGATTCAAGAAGTCTCCAAATATTGACAGTAGAATTTGGAGAGGTAAAGACCTGTCTCTTTACATGAACTCTATCTCTGCTGGAAAAGGTAGTGGAAGCTCAACAGACAGCAAAAAAATTGTGATGTTTATTCCAGAAGAGAATTTGGCCCTTTATTCTTGGTGTAAACTAAGAATAGAGGTGTGTGCATAACAGGAATGCTATGTAATTTTTCTGTGGCAAAATTTTTTGATAGCTTCTAATCTGTGAACAGTTGAGCAAGACTTTGGACTCTTTATAACTTGGATCAATTCTAATAAAGAAGAAGAAACACAGCTTTTCAGACAGCACCTTCCCCAGCAGTTAAAAACTGCAGTTTATACAGCACCCATACAATCACATCATCATCATCAAAGCATGACTTTCATCCCTGAAAATCATGATGGTCATGAAGTCAAAGAAAGGCCCACAAAGACAGTGTCATTGTTTGAGAACTCATACAAATGTTGAACATGAATGAAACTCAATCTGATTATCAAAAAATCAAACCTGTAGGATGATCTCACAAACTACATTATTCAATTAAAACTTCTCATCTCTCCTACATATTTTTTTGTCTTTTAAAAGATACAGCTACCTTTACTTTCTCTTTTTATGCTTTAAACTTTGAAAACCTTTCACAGCAGAGGTTACATGAATCATCTAGCTTTCTTATTCCAAAATGTTTCACTGATCATTCATTATTAACTGAGTAAAATGAAGGTAGCTATGATAAATTTTGGTCTATCTCAAAGTATTAGAAAGGATATGAAAACATCTTGTTCATAGTGTTAACTTTTAGATGACATATGACAGTACAGGCCCAGTTTTTTCACTGTCACATACAATGAGGCTCTTAACAACCCAATCACTTGTTATGACATTTTTTCCCAACTCCTAGGCACTAACAGTTTCAGCCTGCTCTGCCACTTAGCAGAAACTCATTCAAACAATATAACCATGACAAACAATATAGCTGGATGTGGGTAACAGGAAGCCTATCAATACCAGAGATCATAAAAATTGTCCAGTTATTTTTGTAATAATGTATGTTCTCTAAACAGTTCTACACACATCTATGCCTTGATGTGAATGCTCTGGAGAGGAAATGAGAAGTTTGTGGCTGCTCATTTTAGTGAGTCAAGATCCTGGATACAACTTGCTGCTTGTTATTTGGCTATCTAGACAGATGGGCTAGACTGAAGTCAGTGGGGCTGCTTGTGATATACTCCACAACTGAACATATTTGGAAAACACTGTTACACTAATTTACTCATTTCTATCTTAAAATGCTTTCAATTTCTCTTCAGTCATAACTCATCCTGGGTTCTCCACGACCAGAGAGGGTCAGGCCTATATGTAAGAGAAACAGACAGAGACAGAAGTTGTGCAAAGCTGGCCATGGACTTAATAAGAGCTTGATTCTGTACCAATGAAATCAACAGGAGTTTGGCTCTTGTTTGCAATGGGAGGTGGATCAACATTTTATGCCAGCTGTTCCCTGCTGGGTAGGGATAATCCCTTTGAAACAAAATATTTAACTTGTTCTCACTCTGTTGTTGTAAGAAGGCTTCCCATGAAAGTGCTTTCATGAGTATTAAAAGGTGTGTCCCATTTTTTTTTTCCCAAATACCACCCCCCACCCTGTAGTATATAGTTGCTGATCCAAAAAAACAACCCACCTCCTCCACCTGCTATTAAACCACATGAGTTTACAGAAAAATGCCACAGAAATGAATTACAGGGTGGAACTGAGTCACCTGTTTGTTCTGCTGGCCATGACAGTACTTGCACTTTCCTCAGCCAGGAGATGCAACAAGGAAATATGTTAATTCAAACAGCTGCAATTGAAGTGGGATCTCCTGGGCAGAAGTAAAATAGGTCCCTGCAGGCAAATAGAAGATGATAAAAAATCCAAATTCCCAACAGTCATGAAGGGAGTAATGAATAATAGTGTGGGAAAAGTATCAGAGAGACGGGAGCTAAGGAAGGACAGTATTAACAATAAAATCTTGTACATGTGTCCTCCAGTCTGGATCTGAGTACAGCATTTAGTCTCAGTTGCTGTTTCTGTGTTTTGTTTTCATGTTTCACAGTGACAATGAGGTTCTAAAACGGGTTGATGCCCAGGTTGCTCTACAACCAGTGGTTCCTTCTAGTCCCTGCATGTGTTGGTCAAGTTCAAAAAGAATGTGAAAGTTGGGCCCATTTACACCAGCTCTCAGTTTGGTTCACTCCCTCTCACTCCTTTGGCTGAGGTCCATTTGGCTGACAAACCTGGAACATAAAATTTGCTAGGTACTATAAAGCAATTATTTAATTTAAAAAGTCTCTTTCATTGCATAATAGGATTTCCATAAAATACAGAGTTCTCCACAATATCCAGGGAACTTTTGTTTACACCATAAACTATGACACTTTTTGAAGATCTCTGGATGACTTAAAGAGAGGAAACATCCACAGAAAAAGCTGTTTGGCCTGGCAACCAGGGACTGAGCCTACTGTAGAGTTACATCCTCCAGAAGCAGGAAACGAATGGAATCATTTGAGCTTAAGAGACTGTGGCATTTTTATAGAATGAAAGGAGTAACTGAGAGATACAGTGACAGAGCTGGGAGCTGCAGCTGGCTGCCTGTTCCATGGAGCATTCCCCTCATAGATTTTTATGACTCTCCTAGCCCTAATATTAAACACTTGACCTTTTTGTCAAATACTATTTTATATTATTAGGTTGGATGATTAGTTACTAAATATACCATCTATAGTAAATAGGAAATTGTGTAGTCTGATGCTTTTAGTCGTAGACCTTTCAGGTATTGGTCCTTTGGCATTTAACATTAGAACATTGAGTGCTCTTATATTAAGTCCCTTGGTAAGCAAGAAGTGCACAGCACTTTCACTTAGGGCAGAGGGGTTTCTGAGGCAGCATTACCAGAGTGGAGAATGCTGTAAACATTGTAAAGTTAGGGATAACTAGGAGCCAGCTGATGCTGAAAAATGCACTTTAATCTACAGCCTAGGAATAAGTGTATTTACTTTTTAAAATTCTGTAAACCAGAGCTTTGCAAATGACTCTGCCCTGTGCCTCTCTCCCTGGTGAACTATTCTATTCATCCTCTCCCTTGTCACATGCAAAATGGTACTAATGTTAGAAGCAGATTAATAATTTGCTTTTTTACCTCTCCCTCCCAGCACTTCATACCCTGTTTTGAGAAACCCTGTTACAAACTACTCCCTCCCATAAATCCCACCTCAAATATTTGGATTTAAAGGTCTATGGTTACATACAGCATGA